GACAATTAAAAAAAAATTTAAAACGCAGGTAACAGTCGCCTAGCACTTCTCTTATTTATTAGTAGTGAAAAATAGGCAAAACTAGGAACGTAGGCCAACTTATATTCACTAATCTTAAACCATATTCTTTTTCATTTATCCAAATACAATTGATCTTCACAACAGATTATAGGAATGCATAATTTTAAATAAGTATTTAATACTAATGGCTAGGAAAAAAGCAATGGAAAGAATAGATGATCAAGCTCCAGATTCAACTTTGCAAAGTTTACCATGACGGATTATGTTTTATATTAAAATAATTCATATCAATGTTTTCCTTCAAGTAGACTTTATTTAACTTCTTCTTTTAAATTTAATGCATATAACCTAAACTTAAGCATGGAATATGAATTGATAATGAACTTGAGTTGCTAACAGAATATGTAAAAGTGAAAATCTACGCCACCTTGTTCAAACATATTTATACAATCAATGACTAAACTATAAACCTTAAATGCTCTCCTCATAAATTATTGCATAGTTCTTGATAGCTTTTGACCTTAAGAAATAACTTTGTAATATACACGTTGTTGAACCCAAAAAATAGCCCTAACAAGAACATCTTTTAAGAGTTTGACTAATGAACCAGAGAGAGTTACTCTATTCTTATAGAGTTACACTTGAAGAGTATAGGACCATTATAATACTATTACCATTATACTATCTTTAATTCTGAAAATTACATGAAGAACAACAATAAAGTTAAGCCAAGAACCACGACTAATAGCAACAAGTAGTCACGAACTCAAATAAAGAAACTAAACACTTCCAAAGCGGAGAACTCCAACGGGGATATACCATCATCTCCATCTCAAATATGATTTCAAAGTTCTTGAAACTAAATCTTTTGTCTTTCTGAAAATCAAAGTATCTAAAAATACTCTCTGAAATAATTCTAAGACCAAACAAACTGCTGTGAAGGTTAATAATTAACTAAAGTAGATATTCCTTGACTCATGTGAAACCAAGATCCTATTTAAACTCCAAATGAACACATAAGCATCACAAAAGATAAGAAATTACTCTTAATCACAAAGGGAACATAAAAAATAAATAAGTAAACTTGAATGAACTAATTATCACAATCATACAAAACTAACTTAATATAACCAAAACCATTAGATATGAGCTTTAGACCTTCATATATTCCTGTTAGAGTAACCAAATCATTTTAAGACAAACAATAACCAACAATATGTTTAGGCATTTTATTTCATCCATGAACATTTAAACTAAATGATGAGTTCAAAACTTTACCTAGAAGTTGAAATTTCAGCAGTGAAAAACGTTGAATCGAACAGCAGACCACCAGTAGCAATAACGGTGAAAAGAACCAGTGAAACCCAGAATAAACCTCGATACTCAACAACTTTTAAAGAAGAAGGGAGCAACAAACTAACTTCAAACCTTTTGTATTTTTTGGAAGGTTTTTGCTCTTTTTTGGAAAATATTCAAAGGTGAAAGGCTGCTGAAATTTTTATCTTCTGCTCTCTTTTCTTTGATCTCCCCTTTGTGTGTGTAAATGTGTGTGTTCAACCCCTCATTTCAGCTAACTAAAGGGTGCTTTAGTTGCTGATTTTTTACTCTCAAAATTGTATTTTTAGAGTGTAAAAACTGTCCAACCAATGTGTGATGGACTCCCCTATAATGAAGAAAGGGCAGCCCTTAAATAGGCAAAGAAAAGCCAACTTCTTGGACAGATTTTCGTTCAACAAAAATCTGTCCAAAAGAGGCTAAATTTGTGTGCTAAAGGCTGTCCAAAAGGTGAAAGGACAGCCTGAAATCTGCTATGGCAGGAGCCAAAGGGTCACTTCAGCCACCCTACTAAAAGCAAGCTACTAGTACCCTACAAAATATCTAAATTTCAGATTTTAACAACACCAATATCAACCTATTGATTCAAATTAAACCAAGTATTAAAACATGTAATTAAATTTCAACACATGTATTATGAACCAACATGAGCAAACAAAAATTAACTATTAAAGCCAAACGGAACGCACGATATCGCTGAAGCGATTTAACAAAAAACAAACATAATCACAAATGGATTAAAATAAAGAAACAAGACAGAAACTAACTCTAAACTAAAAACCCAAAAAAAAGAAAAATCAGAAAATTAATAACGGGGCGGGGATTGCGATTTTACCATATACTCGAGCATCCAGGAGACGACGATAGGCAGTGGTACGACTTTCGAGCAAGCTTCTATTGTTGATATTCTTGAAACCAAAAAATTCTGGTGAATCCGAGTCCGGTTTCAATAATATCAACGACACAACCTTGCTCGAGGCCGGTTAGAGAAAAGAAACGGGCGGCAGTGGTGGCGGCGCTAGGGCGGCGTGAGGTTTTTTGATGTTTTGAGTCGGAGATATGGAAAGAGGGGGAGAAGAGAAGGCTGGTGGTGTAAAATTTTTGGAGTTTGGGGTGGTGGGCGGCGGCTAGGGTTTCGGTTAGGCTTAGATCTACGGAGATTGGTGGAGATTTGGAGGATATGAGTGGTATAGTTAGAAAGAGGAGGAAGAGGCGAAGAGATGGTGAAATTTTGGGGTGGATTAGAGGGTTGCCGGCGGCGGCGGCGATTTCCGGCCGGCGGCGACGGGCGGCGGTGGGGCGGCGTGGCAGAGAGGGGGGAGAGAGTGATAAGAGAGAAAAAGAGAAAAGAATTATGGGTGGAAATGGGGAAATCTTTTAGATTTTGGAGGCTTTAAATACCTAGGCCAAGAGTGAATGAGATCCATTGGATCAAGATGGAATGGAGGGGTAAGATTTGATCTTGTTTCATTTAGTGAAATGATGTAGTTTTATTGTGAAACTACGTCGTTTTGATCCGGGTCTTGGCAAGCCATCAATTGGTCTGGGTCGGTGCAATTGGGCCAATGATTTGGTCCAATTTTTTAGCCCATTTCACTTTAAAATAACACTAGCCCAAAGTTTTGTTCCTCTCTTAATTAAATCATAATAAAACTCTCAAAACCTACATACACACAAATAAGAACACATACACACACACACACACACACACACACACACACACACACACACACACATATATATATAGAATAAAAAGACATGGCAAAAATTAAGCATTTACAATTATAACCAACAATGTATTCTAAAACTTAGATGTGTACACCAGACAGAGAGAGTTGATAAGGAGAGATATGAGCAAATACTACTTTTTATTAAAAACAAGGAATAATAGCCTAATAGATACTTATATTTCTTCTCATTTGACATCCCAGCCCCGTTACTCTATAGAGTTTCAAGTGGACACCTGAACTTGTTCAAATATGATATTCTAAACACCTTCACAGCTGTGTGTTGCTCACTTGCTTGACGTGGATGATATATCAGTGTCCCGTCAGATTTTTCATGATAAAATAATAATTTTCTTTTTTCACATTATTTAAAAACTATATAATTTCTTTTCATATTTTACTCCTTCATCTACTTTATTTTTCCTTCATGAAAAGCACATTTCTTCGGTCACATCATTGATGGAGAGTTCCATTACATATTTACTTCAAAATTACAAATAAATAATTAAGACCATCAAATATCTTTACTCAATTTGAAGAAAACTTGAATATTTATTCAATGATTAATAATCACTATCCTTTTTCAGTCACTATCCCATAGAGAGTTCCAGTGCAAACTTGAAGATTACAACAAATTTAAACGAGACTCATCAAGAATCTATACCCAATCGAAGAAAGTTGAAATCCTTATTTACAAAGCCCACTGGAACCAACTGAAGTCAAATCCCACACTTATAAGTAGCTAAAACAGAAAATCAATTGAATCTTCATAGGTTTCATTTGAACTCCACTGGAAGAATGGAGGGAGAAAGAAGAAGAGGAAGAGAAGAATGGAGGGGAAGAAGAAGAGAAATAGGGGATGGGGAACAGACGGTACTAACGAGGGAGGAGGAAGGACTCTTCAGCCTTTTTTTATTTTTCTTTCTCTCTTTTTAACTTTAATTTCTGCCTCTTCTTTTTATTTTTTCTTCTTATTTTAATCTTTTAAATCAAAATTACAATGCTCACTCTCTTCATTCGCGTGCATTACACGCATATTGTCCAGCTCAATTTAGTCAATGCCACGTAAGTTGGGTCAAAGGTTGGAGGGGCTTAAAATAATATATTTGATCAAGTTCAGGTGTCCACTTGAAACTTTATAGAGTAAGGGGACCGGGATGTCAAATAGAAACAAATACGGGTGTCTATTAGGATATTCTGCCTAAAAACAAAGAGTACAACATACTTCTTAAATTGACAAAAAGATGGAAATAGTATACAAAAATTAGATGTTGTAAATTCTTGACATAATCTCAATCATTTTCGTTAATCTCGTCAAGAATCACAATAAGAGCAACTATGAACGCATGATCTATGTTTTCACTCACAGACACACCAAAATTATCTTTGCCAAGTAGCATACTTTCTGCAGTGAGTTTCTTGTGCATCTGCATGCAATTACAAATATGATTAATATAAACACTTCTACTAATGATAATAATTTTAAGCAGAACAATCTATGTATACCGGCTAGAAAAGTAAATAGTGAAACCGATCGAATATTTGTGTTAAAAGGGGCTTGAGTAGTATTTACCTGGGCGATTTTGGTAGAATTAGCAGCATAAATAGCGCAAGATTTGTCAAGCCAGCTGCCTTCAATTTTGAAATCACAAACTTCTTCTTTCGTGTTAGCAGCCAGATATACATCTAACTTGGTTTTTAATTGTAAAAGTGCAGATTTCTTGACACTAAAGAGCAAATCTTTAGCGTTCGTACTCTCTCCTCGAAACGCTTGCCATCTATTATGAGCACTCAATAGCTAAATATTCATGAAATCAGAAAAGGGAACACATGAGCATATGTCACAACCAATGGCGAAGCCAAGATATTTACTAAAAGGGAGTCAAAACATAAAGAACTAAATACACAAAGAAGTCACAGAAATTCAATATTCTTTTAACCTACTTTATAATATAATTTTCTAGCAAAAAAGTGTCAATTAACTCCCCTTTAACAAAGGTAGCACGGCCTGGTCATAATAGATTCCTTTTGACTATTAATCAATTACACTTCAATCTTAGGCTAGTTATAGGAGTATAGTTGAAGAGAGAAAATGAATCAATCAACTATAGCTCTTTTCTTATTCAGAGAAAATGAATCAATCAATTATAGCTCTTCTTTTTTTACTGGCCATTTTAATTCAGATTTGCTAGGTAGACCCATTAAAGGGGAGTATTCCCAAGGTTAATCGTAAACTAATTACTATACCTCAATCACAAACAAACTGCTTATAGGTTATATAAATTATCTATGTACATTTTGTCCTGAATTTTTGAAACAAGGATAAATTATTAAAACAGAAACATTAACGATCTGAGCATGAAACCAAATCAAAATCATCGTATATAAAAAAAATAAATAGATAAATATAATGATGACCTTTTGTTGGAAAGTTACGAGAGGATTGCCAGAACCATCAACCAAGACTCGACGTTCACGTAAGCTAAAGACTTGGCCTTTGACTTTAAACAAAGCATTTCCATTAGCATCAACAACTTGAAATGCACCATCTTTTAATGTCATGACTTTTTTCACGATGTTGAGATCAGAAGGGTATGGAACACAAAGCTGTGAACCTATTACTGCCACAGGATTTGCAGGAACAGCCATCTGTGGATCGCTTGTTCCTGCCATCACTCCTGTCGCAATGTAGTAATTAATGCACTACAATCACAAAAGCAATCAGAATTATATATATATATATATATGGTAATTTGGGGAAAGATGATCAAAACTCACATTTGTGAACTTACCTAATTAAAGGCTTATTATACCGGAAAATAAAGAAATGTGTGTGCTTAAGTGGAGAGTTAGTTATCTCCACTATGTTGGGATCACAATTATTTCAAAAGCTTATAATATGCCACCTGTAAATCAAAATTATCAACAAAAACATAATGGTAAGATATTTCATGTTCAAATTTCATTGATTAAACTTGAGTTTGATATAAATGTTACTCTATTAATATTTCGATGCTATAAATAGTACTGCAAAAATCCCTCGACGAGAAAAACAATTTATTGAATCTTTAATGGTTCTATTGTTGGGCAAATTTTTATCCAATTTTTATTTTAAAGTTCATATCCAATTAAACTTAGCTTTGTTTCCGACTCAGTCTGTGGTGTTACCCATTGTATAATATCATTATCATTTACTTTACCCTTTTATCAAATAATTCTATCTCGTACCTTACTTTTCTTTGTAATATTTTTCATATTTTGGGTGTGCTGTCATCATAAAATTAAACGACAACAAAAAAATACAATCTATCCACATATTATATTAATAAAAAATTATACAGCATAATATAATACAATATACTTCGTGGAAACAGTCTCTTGCAGAAATGCAGGGTAAGACTGCGTACTATAGACACTTGTGGTCCGGTCCTTCCCCAGACCCCGCACATAGCGGGAGCTTAGTGCACCAGGCCGCCCTTTTTTAATATAATACAATATACTACGATACATTATCATTACAAGGTAGGGGTAAAATCTGCGTACACACTACCCTCCCCAGGTTCCATAGTGTGAGATATTACTGGGTATATTGTTGACTTGTTGTTGTACTATGATACATTATCAAACAATGTGTAACAACTATCCAAACAAGCCGGTGTACGTTGTAAATATTTCCTTACTCAGGAAATACATTAACTTAGGGCATCGACCGATCTGGTAGATCAAAACGTGTTCCTATATATGCCCATCTCAATAATGTTAAACTCAGCTAAGCAAAAAGAAAAAGAAAGAATGTTTTTGTGTGGTTCTATTATTGGAATGATGTCTTGTTGGAAAAAGGAAACTGAACAAAGGTATGTGTGGGCTATTGTTCTACAGAAAATTGAAAAGGTAGGGCGCATTACATTTTGTACGATTAATTCTTAAAAGGAATGGCTTTTTGAGAATTCTCCCATCTAAATAATGGCATAAGAAAGGCTAATTTGAAGATCAAGAAAGAGAAAGTTTTTATAATCAACTGTTGACTGTTATTGTATAAGTGAAAAATCTAGTTTCCATTGGATAGATACATATATAATATCACATGTGTACCCTAAAATGAACCTTTATTAATGCAAGAAAATTGCTATGTACAATGCAACGTAGGAATTAGTAATACATTAATTGTAATACAAAAATTATAATATAAACATTATAATGTGGGGATTATTTAGTGTTGGATGTTGCTCTGTTGTATTATATAATATGTATTTTAAAATATGATCATTATTTTTACAGAATGAAATATTGATTACTACATGAAGCGTTAATTATTTTGTCATTTAAGAGTTTTAATACATATATTGCTAAACTCCAATCATTATTAATTATTTTATTTCGCAGAAAATATACATAGATTCTCACATAATATTAGTTATGTGGAAAAGAAATGTAATACTTATTTATTTATACTAAATCTAGTTGAACTGTTAATATATCTACAAGAAGTACATTATTTATTTTTGAATAAAATTACTGTAAATATAAATGTAATATGACTTAATCGTGATATATTCTACTATGTGTATTTATAACATACTTAATCTGCGGGTATCTGAATTTATACTCTAATGTTTTTAGGAAAAAAACAATGGATTTGAATTGATGATAACCTGGAGTACTTAGTATAAATTTCTTGAGAATTAAGTAGCTATATCTCTTATAACAGGTGTAGAGAATAAATTTGCCTCAAGAAAATATAATCGAGTCTGAAAAATATTGCAACAATCGTACACTACTAGAAATCGATCAAAATCGACTGCGGCCAACAGACCGACCTCGGTAAAACCGACCGAGTCGGTCGATTTTCCAAAATATTTTATTTTTTTAATTTTTTTTACGAAACCGACTGACTTTGGTCGGTTTTTTTGGCATAAAAATGCGGGAAACTATTTTAGAATACCGCAAAATTTATTTTTTAAGAAATCGACCGAAATCGGTCGGTTTTTCATATAAAATAAATTAAACTAATATTCAAAAAATCGACCGAAATCAGTCGGTTATTTTAGTCAGTCATTTTAAAAACCGACTTATTTCAGTCAGTAATTTTATATTTTTAATAAGACCGACCGAAATCGATCAGTTATTTTTGCGCGCGAAAATAAAATTAAGGAGTACAAATAAGTTAAAAGAAAGTCTTAAACCAAAATGTACCAATAGTCTAGGGGTAGAATAGTATCATGCCATAGTACAGACCCTGGTTCGAGTCCCAAACGGTATAATTTTTAATTGCATAATTAAAAAAATTTGTCTGAAAATACCGACCGACTTCGGTTAGTTTTTTCGGCAGAATTTTCTTTTTGGGTCATTTGCGAAAATTAATTTACCAACTGAAATCGGTTCGAAATTGCGACCGACTTCGGTCACTATTTTTTACGGACCAACATATTTTCGACCGATTAAAGTCGGTCAAAAATCGGTCAGTCTCTATGGTTCCTCTGATTCTATTTTTCCAATATAAATTCAAGGGCTTTTGAGCTTGATCTTGAACTATATTTGTTGTCACGAACGATGATCTTGAATTCAACTAGCACGAACTTTGATTTGAACTCATACTCCTTGAATCTTCATTTGTTCTTTGTTCTTGAGCTTGAACTTAATTTCTTGAACTTGAACTTGATTGCTTGAAGCTTGAAACTTGTAGAGAAATTTGCGGCATTTGATCCACGAGCTCTTTCTTGCTTCTTGTTATAACTTCTGGTGTCTTTTCTAGGTTATGAAGACCCATATTTCTAGTTGTGGGAGGGAAGAGTAATGATAAGAACAAACTCTTTACGACCAATCAAATTGAAGTATGATAAGGCCCCATTTGATTGGCCAAAACATATCACTTGCACACGTGGCACGATTTCATTGGCTTTTTAATGTGACTTGGCATGCCTTGTCATTTTGACAAGTGGCATGATCCTATTAGCTCTTCCCTTTGACTTGGCGCGCCACGTCATTTGATAATAGATGAATTGAACTATGATTAAGCCCCAAAAGAAGCACTTTCTTGTAGAGTTTTTATCGTAAAGTGATAGCAAAATGCTCTTATTCATGCTTTTCATGTTTTTCAGGTTACATACATTAGAAGAAGGCTATGGAGTGGTTTTGTATCATTTATGGAAGAAAAAAAAGCCAATCGCATCAAAGTCGCGAGTGAACCATTTGAAATACACAAACGAGGCCTGGAGGTGAACTGCCGCGGTCTCAGCGTGGGCGCGGTAGGACCGTGGTGAGCTGTCAGAGGAGATTCAGAGAGGCCGTTTGGCCGCGGTCCCAGCGTGGGCGCGGTAGGACCGCAGCAGGCGACAGGAACTTAAGGGACTGAAGTGCAAATTTCGGAATTCTTAGCCTAAAACCCTATTTAAATACTAGAACTCGCCCAAAGGAGGCATATAACCTTATTAGAGAGTACTTTGGCAAGAAAAACAATTGTGAGAGATCACCAAAAACATCTTTATTTCTTTTCTTCTTTATTTTCTTGCAATTTATGATCATGAATCTTTTAGTATTTGATTTCCCCATTGTCATGAGTAGCTAAAAACCTTAATCTAAGGTTTTGGTGGAACCCGTTGGGAATAACTTGGTTGTTTTATCAATATAATTAGATTTGGTTGTTAATCTCTAATTGTTCATGTATGTTTTGATTGTGGAATAGTTGAAAGGGCCCTCAATTATCCGTTCCTATTTATTATGTATCTTCTTGAGAGAGAGTGCATATTTAGGTGATTGTATGAACAACATCACTCCCGAAGTATAGACGAGAGTCATAACCGAGGGTTTAGGGGTTGGATTAGAGATAACGAAACCCCGGGTGCAATCTAAGTGAACCGTATTGTGCAAGTAGCTAGCGTAGCTTGAGAACGTGCGTCTAGTAGATTATTATAATTACTTGAGAAAGAATTATGATAGATGGAGAGTTCATGATTGTTAGAGATAGCTAAATCATAGTTATAGGACATATACAACCAAGGAAAGTACCAACGGGGGAAACCATTGCCTTAGACTTTATTTCTACTGTTTACACATCAAGTTTAGTTAACTTTCAGCTGTTAATTACTTTCAATCTTTAGTTGTTAGAAAATCAACCATTGTGAATCAAAAAGTTTGGGAAAACAGCTTGTGTGAATTTAGTATATCTGACAGTAGTGATTGATAGGTTAGTTCCCTGTGGTTCGACTCTGGGCAATAATACTCAGATTATATTTGCAACGCCCGCATAGTCTTTTGTGAGACTTAGTTGTGCGTGATTAAATTTTGGCGCCGTTGCCGGGAAACTAACGGTGTTATCAATTACAATTGAAAGAAATACAAAAATTCTAAGTGTAGTCAGTTTTCTCTTTACCAATCTTTAAATTGAAATTCTAACGGTTGAAATCTTGTGGGAAGCAGGTGTATGCCTAGAAATTCTTCGAGGACTGGAGAACTAATAGAAGGACTCTCGGACCCCGAGAAAATATTCAGGGCATTGAACTGTGCCAACAAAGGACTTCAACAAACTCAACCAACGAACCAACCCGAATTTGATATGGGTGACGTGAACAATGCCAACGAAAACAACAGGAATGAGCAAGTTGACCTGGAAGTCAGGGGAGTGGCACCTCTTGTGCCAGAGGCTGCACTTTATGACTGGGCACAGCCTACAACTGACAATCTGGCGACTGCCATAGCTGTGCCTGCAATTCAAGCGGAGACATTCCAAATCACCAACAACATGCTGCATCTGCTGCAGAATAAGGGATTGTTCTCCGGGTCAAGCA